GAGCAAAGGCAACACTGTATGAAAAAAAAAAAAAACATTTTTATCCCCAGCGCGCGGAGCTGTGTATCGAAAATTCTAAAGATATGCTCATTTTATAATTATTTTGCGATATTGCGGTTGAACTGAATTCTATGGTTCGAGTACCTAGAACATGATGTTTAAGAAATAAGGGTAACACACAAAACGTTAAAAAACACCCCTTTGGACGTAAAATCTGAAACCTTTCAGGTTTTAATTCTTTTCTTACTAGCGTTATACGGCAAAGATTATCCTCACTATTTTTCTGGACTATTCAGCTGAAATCGATAAAACTATACAATCCATTCAGAAAGCTGCCACCGTCTGGCAATCCGTCCTTGATATTGTAGACTTGTAAATTGCTGTTTTGTATGATACTATGACATATGAGGAAAGTTTGGAGGCCTCAAACGAAATACAAACGCTCTATTTTCATTTTCATGCGATGCAATTGCAATATTGAAACAGCTGGAAACCACAAATAAAACTGTTAGTACAGCTGAAAACTTCGTTTAAGTTACAATAACAACGGTTGCTGATGCAAAAAGGAGGAAATCGTTGCAGAAACCTTCCTCTGTCTACTGAATTTCTTAACGTTACATCGTACTTTTATCACCTGTGAAAATAATTACATGTCTACATTATAACAACACTTTTTTTAACACGGGCAAATTCTGTGAAGAATAAAAAATATGTTATCTTATATTTTAAACGAATACACACTCGTACATTAACAGTTGGTTTGCCTACAAATACGAGGTAAAACTTTATAAATAATAAATCTTCCAAATAGTTATAAATTTTATAAAATACGGTCGAACGTTTTCTAGATTTTTAACAGAATATTATAAGGATTTTATTTAAGATCCAAAAAGAAATAAAATAGCTGTTGTTTCCTGTCGAGTTATCTTGCACATCTGCTATAAGGAATTGAAATCGATATTTTAACCTTTTTCAAATTATATTTTGTTTCAATCACAAATTACTTTCATAACTAATAATTCTTCTAGAAATGGTTATCTAGAATAATCTTCTAGAAATGGTTCTAGAAATAATTATTCTAGAAATGGTTATCAAATCTTTACAAATTCGTATATGAAAAGTATCGCATTAAACTAAAATTTGGTAAAACTTCTATCATGTTCACCTTTAAAACTAGAATGTTTAATCTGTCTGGGTGCTTAGCATTTTCGTAGTGCTATTATATTTTGATATTAATTCGTTTAGGAAATTAAAATATTAATCGTTTACTAATCAAATTGATATATATATAAAGTGCTAAACACCTTTATTTCCTTGAATACTGATTTCAGATATGTACACTGCGGAAAAAAGGGTGTAGGCATTTCTGTATCTTCCATTCTACTGGGCCGATTGACGAAATTCATATTGCATTTTTCATGTCTCGAAAACGCGACTTAGGATATGTAAGTGTTATGAATTGAAAAGCGCTCAACTATACTTCTAAGACGGTGTTTCTGATGTCCGGCATGAAATGAAAGTTATAGTTGGAGCAAAAAATACATAATCTATGGTTGTTCTTTTCCTAAACTGTTACCAGAGAAGCGACAGAATGAGAAAATGACCAAGCCGAAAGCAAAAAGGAAATGTGTGGCACTTTATTTAAAAAAGAAAAAAACTTCATTTAAATCGAGAAATAAATACTGGAGTTAGGGAAGAAAATTTATACTCTTGACGAATGAATAACTGAAAATTGTGTTCATTTTTTCGGTTCGTAACCGCGAAGTTATTTACACATGTACAAAATTCGTAAAAATACATTTATTCTGTTTCAGTATTTCCGAACTTTAATTTCCTTTGTATTTTAAGGTCCACCAGCGGTTGAGCGGGAAAAGACGCTGAACACTGGTAGTTCGGTCCGAGGTTCGAAACCCGCGAACGGGCTGGCTGCATGGGCGTTTTCGTGGTTTTCTCATGTGTAACATGTATACGAGCCAGTTTCCCTCAGAAAGTCCTCCGCGAAGACATCCCTTCCTTTAGGAAAATAGCCCTCGTGTGCTTTGCCATAATTAAATAATCCAAATCTTTTGTATTTTAAACTCCGTATGCGATTTATTGCGCAGAAGAGTTTTAGTCTTTCACTTAACGACTTCAATTAAGACTTTATGGCCGCAAAATGCTTTTAGTCCATGCAGCAACTTTTACATGTATTCATTTTATATCAATTTGCAGTAGATTTCCATATTTTTATCGCATTTTGTGGTAAATTATTCATGCAATATTGTACTTTCACAATTACTGGATAATTAATCTCGCAATGAATACAAAATGCTAAATGTTTTTCATTAAAACTTCAAAATAGAAAATTACGTTCCTATTTTTTTATGAAGAATTTTTCAAAGTGGTTCGAAGTTGATTTAGAAAATGGATCAAATAAAGAAGTCTTTCAGACTATGGTAACTTATGTATTATAACTCATTTTTTAGTAATAATATGAAAAATTGAAATTTTTCAACATCCCTTTGCGAAGAAAGTTCTCGCTAGCAAGTTATTCTTCATATTACTAAACATCTTTAAAAAAAACTCATAGTTCTGTTAAACATAGACAAAACTAGCACTTAAAAATTGCCAGAATTTTTAGATTCAATAATTTTTATCCATGATGAAAATATTTATTATATGAATCGTATAAAATTTAATTTCATAAAATAAAAAATTATGAATTCTGATATTTCTATGAATAGGTTATGCTAAGTTATTTGAATCACGTGACGCTGTCTGTCTACTGCAGTAATTCTCAAACACTGTGCCGCCAAATTTTAGAAATGTATATAGTAAAAATTATAATGGGTTTAATCCTAGTCTAGGATACACATGAGAATTAGAGAAATTCGGTTTTCAAGACATTAATAAGCGCGCAACTTGTGGTATCCAAGCCGATTTTGGTGCCGAATGCTTCTGCATTTCAATTAACTTTAAGCGAAGAGGAAGAACTAATTTCGCTTTCTAATAATCGAGATTTAATTTACAAATATTTGGAAGAATCAGTTAATCCATTTTGGATTAACATTAAATGCGATTATCTCATGATTGCCAAAAAAGCTTTAAAATATTATTACAGTTTTCTACATCTTATTTATGTGAATTCGGATTTTCAGTATTAATCAACATAAAAACACAAAAAAAAATCGAGACTTTCAAGTGTAGAAGACGATATGAGAGTAGCATTGTCATTTTTATGACCAAATTTAAATGAAATTATCAAAAACATCAAGCTCAAATTACTCGTTAAAAGTATTCTTATTACTAATTTATAATTAATCCCTTAATAAACGTACTGCTGTTTTTGTAGTACATGTTACTTTATTTTACATTCAAAATTATTATCATGAACTATTTGACACAGTGTATTATAGGTAAGTAAGCAACTTATCTTTTTCTTTGTGTTCGAAATGAACTTCTTCCAAATCTTTGTGATCTTCTTCCAAATTTTTAAATCGTTAAAATTGTGCCGCGACCAAAAAAGATTGAGAATCACTGGTCTACACGGAGGCATGGCTTTCTTGATAATTTTCTAAAGGAACCTGCTTCATATTCATGCAGCAAGCGTGTTCGCAAAGTTCTAACACGAGTTTAAACTACCAATATTCAAAGATCTTATCCAATCGGCCACTGGTGGAAGGGGGTTCTAGGAATGGAATCTTGATATTCGTGCTTCAACATTAACTTATATCTGATGTTAAAGTTATGGTTTAGAAATTTTCTTTCGGAAACTTTGCATTTATAATATTTAATTGTAAATGTAAAGTTTTACTTGTAATATTTAATTGTAAATGTAAAGTTGTCTTTAGCAATATTTGTATAATGCCTTCAAGAATTTTATCGTATAAAGATTGAAACCCTCTTTTGCGTGACTAATTCTGTAATCAAAGTCACATTTTTATCTTTTTACTGCATGGCTCACATAAAAATGTAAGCTCCAATAATTTTGCGGAAAACTGTAAACTGTTGTAGTCTGAAAGCACACTTTATTCCTTTCATTCCTCGAACTCGAACTGAAACCATGTGTCCACTTTTTATTTATGAATTTCTGAAATACTTTGCACGTTTCTATAGAATTATAAGAAGTTTAGGTGAATCTTTACATTATGGTAACGATTTTTTGGCGAAAATGTGGCCACAGCCTGCAACAAAACTAGCAGGTTGCTACAGCGACCTGCTAGTTTTGTTTTGGACGCCATTTTGTTTTCACGAAGTAAAGGCATGTTTTTTTTTTTTTTTTTTTTTTTTTTTTTTTTTTTTTACTCAACATTTTTTCCAACAATCTGCTAGCCGAATTACGCTTATACTAGAACTTTTATGGAACAAAAATGCTTAATCATGACGAAGATTAGGTGCGAAATTGGGAGAAAGTGCAGAATCGCAAACTGCTTGCCGCGTTTTTAAGAATTGCACATGCACGGTATCCATGTACACGTCGACCTATTTTCACTTAAAAACAACATCCTAGAATTGCACAAAAATGGCATTGCGCACACTCTTAACTTTATCTATGTACACATCGACCTATTTTCACTTAAAAAGTCAAAGAAAATTGACAAAAATTCAATAAAAAGCGCCAAACAAATAAGTGGGCGATTCTGCACTTTAGCAGCGAAAATTGAAATTGTTTCTAAGTGCTTACTTATTAGCTAAAATCACGATCGGAATTTCCGGGAAAATGTCACATGACATGTCTCATGATCTCTCATTTCTCTGAGACAAAATAATCTGTGATTCGAACTGTGTACTTCTCAGATTATTGCTAAAGTCCTAGCTAGTAACCTTTATCGCCTTACCAAAAGGTCGCCAAACTACCTGTTACCATATTCTAAAGATTAGCCGAAGTTTACTTTCAGACTCGTATGAAGTTCTGAAGATGTCATAATAAGTTAGGCGTTTTAGTAAACAGCTTATGAACTGCAATTATATCGCCTAAATAGTATTTCAGCATACTCAAATTTCACCTTTTATTATTGCAGATGTGACGTCGAAAGAAAAGAAATCCTCTCGTATACAGAAATTACGAAAACATCTCAGCTGCGGTTTCGGACGCCTCTGTAAGTATTATTTCCTTCAACTATTTTTTTGTAACTTCTGCTTTTACTGAGGAAAAGAAATATATTTTTTTGCTATTCTTGCATGGAAAAAGCTAAGCAATATATTCTTTTGTTTACAGAGTACTATTTCACTCTAACCATAATATTTACATTAAACGCGATAAGATACTCTACTCAAAGCTTACCTTATTTTTCGTTTCGTATAAAAATAATTGAAAAAGTACTTAATGTGCTTTAACCATTAGAATATATCTGTGCGCAAGCATTTATCATGGTTGATAAACATTCTCTCCACATAATAAATTTAAGCAAAATGCAGCAGACCGAATAATTAAAGAGACTAAACTGTGCCAGATATAGCTGTTTCTAAATTGACTGGGCAAACTGTCTCTAGGAAAATTCTTTGCTTAGAAGATAAGTTTTTATGATTACATTTGTTACCAAAAACCAAACTGAAAGTTAACTTTAGTTAAGAACAAAACTTTACATTTACGATTCATTTGAAGCATTTACAAAAAAATATAATTTATTAAAGTTGTTAATAAAAATAACGTAATGTTTAAAGGAATATAATTCTCTTTTAAGCTAATGTCGTTGTTTTATAAGCAGCTACAAATGAGTTTAATTTAACAATTAAACTCAATTTTAAATTTAGCAATTATATAAATTATAATTATAATTACTAAATTTAAAAATATATATTAATTTATAATTATAACATTACATTATAATTTATATAAGTTATTTATATAAATTTAAACTTTATATAAATTATGATTGCTAAATTTATCTCGGAAGAAACTTAAATTTCTAAATGTATCTTGATAAATTTATATTGGACTGCTAAATTTATCTTGGAAGAAAATTTTGAAACGAAGAAATTCTGCCAGGTTTATGCTGTTGAAGATGTTTCGCAATTATAATTTAATTTAAATTATACACTAGAAACAAACAACAGTAATTTTTTTATTAAGTAAGCTTGAAGTACGCTTTATATTTAGCTATATGTTTTATCCGTTCACTTCCCAATCTTCTCGACTGAAAACATTTATAAAGTATTATTTCAACTATTTATTTTTGATATTTCATGAATTAATTCCTTGAATTAGTCCTTGAATGACATTGATTTTGAAAAGAATTGTTTATGCGCTTTTTCAAGGGAAAAAATAAGATTAATATTTATTGTAAATAGAGTCTTTGGTGCATCTGATTTCTTTTTATGTTTTTAATGCACACATTGAAGAAAATTTCAAATAAATTAAATATCCAAAATAGATAACATTACAAGTGTTTAACAGCATTGTACTTGTTGGTTTTCTAAATACATAATAAAAATTAATTCATTAATGAATAAATGAAAGTAAGCAATGTTGGGTATTTTCGAACAAAAAAATGTAAAACAAGTGTTTTAATTTACGTTTAAAAGCATGAGTGGGTAAAAAATGTGCAATGCTCTGGCCGGGACTCGAACTTGGACCTCTCGAATACGCGCCTAGTGTGCTAACCATTACACCAAGAAGGCATGCAGAAAAGAAGGAGAAGAAAACCTTGTATACTCCCTCTTTTAAAGGACGACTGGAGATTAGGGGACCCAATCGCCAAATCCTGGTGGTGAAGAATTTTGAAACGAAGAAATCATCATTCCCCACCTTTTTTTTAGTTCGTGAGCCACTGTAGAGACATTAGGTACTTTTGAAGCAGGATTACATGAAAAATGAGCAATGCCCTCGTCGGGACTCGAAACTGGACATCTAGAATACGCGCCGAGTGGGCTTACCATTACACCATGAAGGCATGCAGAAAGGAGGGAGAAAATACTTTATAACGTGTTGATGATTTTGAGATTCTGAACGAGAAACTGAAGTAAAAAATTTCAGTATTTTATTTCCTTTGACATCATTACATGTTGTGAGCATTTTATGTGCCTGCCTTCAGATAAATCGATTGATTTTTACATAGCGTTACGTGCTTTTAGAACCAACATACACAAGTGAAAAATTGCAAAAGAATCCCTTTCATCTAAAGGTTAAATAAAATTAGACACTAAATGAAGAGTTTGATATAAACAATGAAATGATGTGCTATAAACAATGAAACGATCTAAAGGGAAAAACAAGGTATGGTGAGAAACTCTCTGAACGCAACAGCCTCACCTAGTTGGCATTCACAATAGCAGTGAGTAGCTAAAATGTGGCATGGTTGTAAGCAATGGCGCATTGCCCTATAATTTTAGTTTATTACTGCAACGTCTTAAATTTACATTACTTAACTATCATAACTACTAACATTTTTAAAACTTGTAGCACACCTTTATTATTAATTGTGAAACATTCAAAGGTTGTATGTTGAATTTATCCCCTGCAGGTTACTTTATTAATAACGTTCTTGTACTTTTTACTTCCTTTTACGAAGTAAAAAGTAAGTATTGTAATCGCGAAAAGTTTCAGGTAACATATTTCAACGAAAATATCTATTTGGACCCCTATCGAATGCAATTTAACGAAGTTTTTGCGTGATATCTGTGCGTAAGGAAAGAATAAAAGACACCTTTCCTCCAAAAAAATTATAAAACTGCTTTAAAATGAATTCTGAAGAGAACTTTTCGTGGCATCTGTACGAACGTATGTACGTACGTGCGTACGAACGTATGTATGTACGTGCGTACGTACGTACGTATCTCGCATAACTCAAAAACGAGTAGCCTCAGAACGTTGAAATTTTGTATATAGGACTGCTTTAACATGTAGATGTGCACCTCGTATTTTAGTTGCAATCGGCCCCCCACCAAACGTATATAAAATATATTATATATATATATATCCACTCTGTTAGCCGGCTCAGTGTGATCTCAGTATCTTTACTCTTATATGTTTGTAAATTGTACATATTTTGCTTTAAATTTTTTAAAAATGACTTTTGAAATTATGTTGTTTTTATCTTCCGGTTTAAGGTTTTTTATGCCTTTCGTAATTCTGGAAGCAATATTTGTAACAATTATTAACCAATTTTTATTTAAAAAGCTGTTTAAGTGCGGGTTAAGTTTTAAATAACATGGCGGACATATTTGTTTACATTTGAAACACAGACAGAGAATTGTAGATTTGTTGCCAATCTAGAGAGAGAGAAACTAAGTTCGCAACGCAAAAATAACGCCTTCATTTATTATTGCGAATTAAATCATGCTTAATCCTTTCTGGAATTTTTTCGAGGAAATAAGTGTTTAAGATTTACTTTCGTAATTTTTAATACAGATATATTTGAGTTTTTATGTATTTTTGCCTTGTCGCGCGAAGTGAGAGCTGAAATTATTGAATGAGAAATACTGAATCGTCTCTGTGAAAAACTGGTTCTTTTCTATTTGTTTGCTTAATTTCTTTTATAATTGTTATATATTTATTATAGTATTTGAATTAGAACATGTGTGACAACGATAATTCTTCAAATGATATAAAGTTAGTGCATTCAGAGAATCGTTATAGTAAAAAAATACAGTGAATTTTAAAGAGTGCATTTATTCTATTGTGGTTTTTGCGCTGTCGACGAAGTAGATTTAATTCAATCCAATCAATTTAAATGAAATTCAAGAAAAAATGCGTATAATTTAATATTCCGTACAAGGAAGTTATGTGGTGTACACATCAGGTTTTTTACTAAGCTTTTGTGTTACAAAAATGTAACATGTATTGCAAACAGAAAGTCTGGGGACAGCAGTAATAGAAAAAAAGCAACATTGTAAGATGGAATTAATCAGCTGATAACTCAAATTAATGAGTTCTTGCGTTTAAATATATAATTAAAAATCATTAGTATAATATTATATGTGTGAAGAAAAGGGGTTAATATATGAATCATCAAAATCTTGTGAGCGCCGTTGTCTTACAAACCTCTTAATTAGCTTAATTCGTATATAATTATTTATCTTCCTGTTTGCTTTTACAGTCTAAAATTCCTTACGTCAATGGCCCACCAGCGGCCGAGTGGTAAAGACGCTGAACACTGGTATTTCGGTTCGAATCTCGTGAACGGGCTGGCTGCATGGGCGTTTTCGTGGTTTTCCCCATGTGTAGCGTGTATACGAGCCAGTTTCCCTTAGAAAGTCCTCCACGAAGGCATCCCTCCCTTTAGGCAGATAGCCCTCGTGTGCTTTGCCATGATTGAATAATCCAATCCAATCCAATCCTTACGTCAATACTTAAATCGTTTAAAGAATCAATAAATATAATGTTTTGAATAACAAGATGCTATATTCCAAATAATAGCAAATATCATGACCAGATAAAAATAATCATGATAATTATTTGAAGGTTAAGCAAATGTATGTTTTGAATATTGTGTACAATATCTAATGATAATTTTATTATTAGGTCAGAAACGTGTGTACATAGTAGTATGCTTAAAATACACTTCTTTTTTTTGCCGTTAAATGCTCATGCTAGAGATGCTTAGCGGATCTATTCAAGATAATGTAAGGCCTTAGTTTATTTCAATCCAATGCTTTATTTCATAGCTTTGAGCATAAATCTGCGATTTATGCTCTAAAACATTTTTCGGTCAACGCACTTTTCTGAATAGTTCGTGAAAACTAAATATTTATTAGATTTCAAATTTAAACAATTTAGCAGCATCGAAGGTAAGTATAAATAATTTATAATTATGTGTCGGGAGCATGTGACGAATTTCCCAACTCGTACACTCCACTTTCACCGAATCTTGACCAACAATAGAGAGGGTCAAACTGCGGCGAGGAACGGAGTCGGAGAAAAATGACTGAGAGAAAGAGAGACGAAATCTGTGTCCGAGATTAAGGAAACCGTTATTAATCGAAGCGAGTTTCCGGCCAATTAAGGACGCCCTTTCTCATTTGTTCGACCAGACATTTCCATCATCCCAAGACGTCCCCCTATAGCTGATCAGAACTTTGTTGTCCGCTGCATTTTCGATGTTCCCAGATTACCTTTCCTGAGGTGATTTGATGTACTGGCATCGAGAAAGAGAGTGCC